AGTAGTGGCTGAGACTAATCCCCAACACATGTTCTGAGTGTTAACACGTTGCTTCAGATCTTTGTGTTCAATTTTGTCTTTAACTAATGTGTCAGCTCTGTCTTTGAGCAAAATATCTCCTGAGCAAATTGACTGATTTCAATGAAACTTTCAGAAACTAACTATTGAATAAATCTCTATAACTGATTTTAAAAAGTGACAGAATCTGCGGCCTCCATTCAAGATGGCCACCACAGCCAACTGACCTTAGAAAACAAAAACTTGACAACGATTCTGTGAATTTTTTGTGCTGGCATTCTGTGTGCTTAAATCTTAATCGCTGACTTTTGGAGTCAGCCCTGTCTGTTAGCAAAATATCTCAGGAAAGAAGTGAAGGAGCTTGATAAGATGTCCAGGAAGTACTCATTGAACACACGTCTGCAACCGATTACTTTTTAGAGTTGGTCCACTTAAAAGTGGCCACCACAGCTCTTCAAAACTTGCCAACACTAAAATGACCATAACTCCATCATTTTAGCAGATATCAAGGTAATAAGTGATGTGGTCGTAGCTGAGAGTCATTCAGAACTCAAACTCCATTTATCACGTCACAAAGTTATTTCAAGGTTCTATTTTAAGGATTTGTCATTCCTCAACGTGAGAATGTTTGTAGTCCATGAAATTTAAGTTAACTTTCTGTGAGGTAAATATCTCTTTATAATTCTGTTTTAAACAGTTTGTGACGTTTTTGTGGTAAATACTTCTGCTGGTTGGTTTTGTGTTGGGTCAGGACCCTGGGGGGACAGGAGTGGACACCGGGGAGCATGGGGTGGGCGTGTCCTGCTGACGGCCAGATAAATGGGCTGTTGTTGTCTGCTGTCTTCAGTTTCTCCAGCAGTTCATCAGGCTCTCAGGTCAGCTGCCCTTTGTCTCTTTTACCGTCCATCTGTGAACTCTAAGAGCCAACATGGAAGCCATCAAGAAAAAGATGCTTATGCTGAAGTTGGACAAGGAAAATGCTCTGGACCGGGCCGAACAAGCCGAGGCAGACAAGAAAGGAGCTGAAGAGAGAAGCAAACAGGCAGGTTATAAAAAACAAACTCTTGTATCAAATCTGTATGAGATCAGTCCTTCTCATCAATCAGTAATTTAACTAAACCCACAAATTTAATAGAACTTAATAAAAGAAGAAAACAATGTGTGTTCACGTGACTGGTGTCCTAAGCCTGTTTAATGTTTCGTACCGTCAGCATGAAGACGAGCTGCTGCAAATGCAGAAGAAGCTGAAGGGGACAGAGGACGAGCTGGACAAATACTCTGAAGCCCTCAAAGACGCTCAGGAGAAGCTGGAGGTGGCGGACAAAAAGGCTGCTGACGTGAGTCGACCTGTTCCAAGCAGCTAACGCCCATTTAGTAAAGCTGAATAACAACGCTCACCAGCGCTGTCACTCCCTGACAGCTCTCTGAACAGAACAGGCAGACAGAAACACAGACTAGAAAGTACACCTCAGACAAACAGACACTTGAAATAACTTCTAAACTGTTCATGGCAGAAGTATGTTGAACATCCCGATTCATGCTCAATAATCCAGGTAGAAAAATCTAACGAAGTAAAGTCAGGTCCTCTGGACGGATTCTTCTTATTGAAACATTTTGTTATTTTATCCAAAAGACTTCTTCAGTCAGAGGAGCTGCAACAAACTCAGTCTTATAAACAGCACCTTCTCATTTCAATTTTAATTTCAAAGATACTTTATTAATCCCAAAGGGAAATGAATCGTTGTTCAACCAGTTCATCATCCAGTTTTCTGGTGACAGCCACATCTTGTTGTCCACATGCAATAGGAGGACCATCAGTCTAACAATAGATCGTGTGTGCCCTGATGGCTGCTGGCTATTCAGCCATCTCTATGAAGAGAAACTGTCCATCATTAAACAGGGGTGGAGGCCTCCGGGTTCAACTGTCCCTCTCTTACAATGCTGTTATTGCTAGTATCACTCAGCCCTCTGTGAATAGCAAGCAGCCGTCGGGGCACTAACGATCAATCGTTAGACTGATGGTCCTTCTTTTATATGTGAACAACTAGTTGTGGCTGTCAGCATCAAACTGGTTGATACACTAGAGAAGGTGCTGTTTATAAGAGTTTGTTGCAGCTCCTCAGACTGAAGAAGTCTTTTGGATTAAAAAAATGAAACGTTTCAAGAAGAAAAATCAGTCCAGAGGACCTGACTCAACTTTGTTAGATATCTGTTAAACATTAAAAAGACTCTAGTTTTGTAAATTTCATCTCCATCATGTGACTACCAAACATTAACCCAAGCAGCAGGTTTGGATTTATTGTCTTCTTTTTTTGTCTGAGTTGCGTCAGGAGCAGTGAGTCAGAATGAGACTTAATGGAAAGAAGAGGGGGGAAAGTACTTCATGAGTCTTAACTAACTGCACCGCACGTAAAAAGATGAACGATCGGACTTTTTTTCTGTGATGAAACAAAATGTGAATCTTGTCTCTTAAATTAAAAACCAAACCAAAAATGGGTGTTTTTAAACGTTAGACTTGATCAGGAGAATAGAACGCAGAGATGAAGAGTTTTACTCAGTGGTGCCACACATGGACATAAAAACAACTTTACAAATGACACAGTGTTTACAGAATAAAACGAACTGACTGAAACTATTATATTTATTGCACCAGACTGCTTCATCGAGGTACAAACAAATGTAAACGTTTTACTACTTGTTTCTATTTGTTTCATCAACTGGAATACATTTGAAGTAGTTTGCAGCGAAGTGATGCGGCAAGAAACAGAGGAAACAGTGCAACTAAACAGAAACAGTGAAAGGAAGATTGCGAAATAAAGCCCTAGATGTATGAGTTATGGGTCGACGAAGCAGACGATGCGTTTATGGTAAAACATGGCAGAATACACAAACACCACTCCCTAGATTTGGATCTTGACAAGATCTTTTAATTCTGAAAAATTTAAATAAAAATCTCAGCTTCAGTTTTTTATTGCAGCTTGATGTGAAAGGAGATTTTGTTGAGGGGGAGACTCAATCTTGGATTCTTGTAAAAAAAATAAAAGCCACGTTTTTGCATTTGAAAGAACGGGTTTAGTCTCATCTGCAGTTCGGACAGCGCGACTCGTCCCACACAGTGTCAGGTCCGGACCGAGCGGGCCTGCTGATCCACGGCCTCTCTGTGACATTCCATTCTCATGGCATCCCAAACGAGTGCAGCTGTCGGCAGGATTCAGAGACCTATTTTGACTGTGATGTCACTTGCTCAGCCTTGACTGGAAGCTGAACAATGGCTATGGTCCATTTTAGACGCATCAGTCATTGCGTCCAGGTCACGGTCTAGCAGGGGTGTCTTTCAGCTGGCCCTTCATTTATGTGCGCTTCTGGTGAAAGACGATCATTTGAGTTGGACAAAGACGTAACATTTAGGTAGAGTTCACAGCTAAAGGGACAGTTCAGCCATCTTTGAAGAAACGTTCTATGTTTAGTATCTCCTCAGCCGTGTTATGAATCAGGGAGAATGGAGGATGAAGAGAGAAGCAAAAGTCTTCCTGTGAGCAACTGATTGCCACGTTTTCATTGCTGTTCAGCCTCATTAAACAACTCTTTATCAAAAACAACACAACAGTGTGAAAGAATGTTACTTTAGCTAATATTTAACTCTTTACACTCGGTTACAAAAGATCAAGGTCAAGGTCAAGATTTCTTTATTGTCATTCTTACCACATGTGGTACATGTGATGGAACAAAATTGTGTACACAGAGTCCCAGTAACATGCAACAAAAGTATAAATTGTAAAGACAAACAGTAATAAGATCTAAGACATGAACTAAGAATTATGCTAAACTAAGAATACACTATACAAAATCAAAACACCGAACAACAGCAGCATGAACATGACTCTGTGTGAGCAGATGACCTAAAGGGGACCAAAATTAAAAACTTGGTCCAAGCCATGGGCCAGTCAAGTCAGACACCCAGCATCTTTTCCTGCAGGTTCATCATTTAGTTTGATGGGTTTCAGTAAAGGTTCTACTCTTTCACATCAAAGTCAGATTACTGAAAAATCCAAACTTTTTCTGGCTTCACAGTTATCTGTCATGAGAAGTCTGCACTAAAAGAAGTCCTTTTCAACAAAATGAGAAGCAATACAATTATTTTACATATAAAAAATCATATTGGGGGTGGGGACATATACGTAAGATGATAGCAATATGTATAGGCATGTCATTTTTTACAAAGAGTTCTGATTTAAACCCGAAAAAAGATTTAAACATTGGCCCTGGTTTGGTTAGCTTTTAGCCTAGCATGGATGAAGATTTTTGCATCTTCCTCCACTACCTGACCTCTAACTGATGATATGGTGCTAACAAGTGGTAACTCTCAGAACATCACTTCAAAGTTAACTGAACTATCCCTTTAAAGCAGAAATAAATCTACTTAAATAACCAAAAATGTGGACTCAGCTAGACTGGGGTCTGCAACATGCGGCTCTGGGGCCAAACGGCCCCTTTATTGTTGCTCTTTGAAGCTTTGACTAAAAATATTGCGAAATTTTACCAGTGTTCATATTCATGACCATGCCAGAAAAAAAGTTATTAGTTTTATTGACTATTTATTGGAAATGTGTGAAATCAATTTAACTTAAAATTTAAATTTAACTTAATATTAAATTACAAGAAGCCAAACTTTAAAATTATAAGGGTTTTATCATTTCAAAGTGGATACCCAATATTTTTCACAAAAAATAGACAGAAATCAGACTTGGCGTAAATTTTACACAGATGGTGTATTTTGGTTCTTGCTTTTGGTCCAACATGTAATACCAATACATTTTTTTTTGTTTTTTATTAAAGAGCTTTCTTTTATAAACATAAAGAGCTGTTTAGCTGCTCTGAATAAGCTTTATTTTGAAGAAGAGCTACAAATGGCATTTATGACCCAGTCTTAAAATAAAGGAAATGAAACATGCCAGTTGTCTATTCTGTTTTTTTATTCTTCAGCTGAGTTCATCCTCAGTCACTGCTGAAGAATGTCGAGTCTCCATATAGAAGGCACAGCTGTCACCAAACTAACACTTGTATAGCTAAATTAGTTTAGACCAACGTGAGCAAGCTCCAACCTTTAGTGCCAACCTTCCCAGTCTTCCACAGAGCTATCACAATGGAGGTGGTTACTTGTTACACCCAGAACAGAGGGACTGAGATGAAACTGAATCAGCTTGGAGTAAAAAGTGATTTTATTTACAGTATTTGAACATTTACAGTTGGCACTGGGAGGATCTGAAAAAGAAAGTAAGGTAAGCATGACTTTTGGTAGGTGGTGGTGAGGTTAGGAACAGATCATCTTTCCTTACAGATTTCTTGGTGGTTCCGTGGCATTTGAGGGAGAAGGTGGAAGATTCCAGGTATGTATGATCAGCGGAGGAGGAGAAGTTGACATGATAGTGGAGGTTACCATAAAGGATTGTAGTCGGACATGTGGTGAGAGGCTGAGGAGCAGCAAGACGGTCTGAGGCCATGGTAAGAGATCACAGGAGTTCAGGGTGAGGCTCGTCTTGGAAGCACAAAGGAGAAACAGACAATCCAGGATTTGGCCACAGGGAGACAGGTTCTAGGAATCAGGTAAGTATAAATCATTTATGAAAACACTAGGAGGCTGACAACAATACTGATTAGTGTCTAATGTCGCTGCAGGGAAAGAAACACTTCCACAGCCTCTTTAAGCAGGAGTTAGCCAGAGGAAATGGACCACAGCTGCTGCTCGTTGGCGTCACCCAGCACACAGGAACCACTGGAACCCTACAAGCGATCGTTGTTTGACTCATGTAAAAGACACTGTAGGATTTTCAAATAGAACCTGAGTTTTGATTAGTTGTTCATTGTTAATAAAATATCTTCCGAATTGTAAATTATGGATCTGGTCAGCTGGTCTCTCAACGCAATTGATGAAATTTTCTCGACGAGAAGACAGGGCAAAGGACAGGGCCTCATGCCCTGAAGGCACACTTGCAGCTGGATACTCTATGGATTCCTGGGAGCAGTGGAAGATGGTGTGTCTGTCCATATTGTCCATTGAGGATGTAGAAGACATGTACATAATTGGATTTATGATAACAGGATTTTTGCTTTTTGGGGTTGTATCTGCATATTGACAAATTCAGAAGATGGCAGCGCTTCTGGCAATTGTGAGGTTGCCTGCCTTGTGTGAAGGAATGTGCCGTGCTTGGAGCACTCAGACTCAGATGCTTTGTGAGCTAAGCTGTAAGCTGGATGAAATTTCTGAGAATTGCAGGCAACTTGTAGCTCCTGGAACTCACTAGCATGAAGGAATCGACCTTGGAGAAGCTACCAGCCC